ATCCATGGGGAATTGAGATGGAGAATTTCGCCTGTGGGAAACTTCCCTCGGTCTGACTTGGGACAGGCTGGCCAGCTGGCGTCCTTGTCACCCCTAAATGGTCCCACACCTCCCGATTCTAGCCCCTCCCATTAACCTACCTTCCCGGCTCCTCCATATGACTGTTGCAAACTTCCCTTTGACAATTACCAGGGGAGATGTAGACATGAAGAAGAAATAAGTGAAAGGAGTTTTATTATTATGTCTGTTGTACTCATGAGGCTCAAGGAGACCATGCCTGTGGAAATAGGTCATTCCATTTAGGTCATTAGTTAAATACCGTGTCATTGGGAAATTTTGAAAAATCAGTATCATCAAACTTTTGGTTGTGTAATCACAGGACTTTATTAAACATATTCTATGTACAAAGCACCTTGTTCTGCTCTTTGGACATACAAAGCAAGTGACTTATCGAGTAACAGGGGTAAATCTGTCTCCAAAGGTTTATGGTCTTATTTGGGAAAGAAAATATATGCACACAAGAAGGCTAGAAGTAAATAATACTACACAATAAATACTGACTCAACAGTGAATGGGCCAGATATACATATTGCAGGAAATCAGTGGAGAGAATCAGCACTTCTGGTTGGACTGATCAGGGAAGGCTTTACAGGGAAGGCAAAAAGTGATGCACAGTTCAGACACAGAAAGCCCTGGATACGTGTATAGTCTCTGAAATATACTCTTCCCAGGGCAGGATACCAAGTATCACAGTTCTGTAAACACTGAGTGAAAAGATTCTTCAGTAGATTTTGCTCGCTAGTCACCCTGATGAAAGAAACTGAATCCAATGCTCAACACTTTCATCTAGATGTCAGTGAACCAAGACTTCCCTGGTGGTTTACATTTCTGAAGCAGGGGGCACAGGTTCGACCCCTGATCGGAGAACTGAGATCCCACATGCTTCGCGGCCAAAAAATTTTCTTTAAAAAGAGAAGAAATTAGACGTCAGTGAACCAACCCCTATGAGAGTGTCTCATCCACACTCATGCACATACATGAATTCATAGGTACTCTATTACAAACAGCTTACATTTTAATGCCAATTATTATTTGCCAAGTCCTATTCTCAGTATTTTATCTACATTTGCTCATTTAATCTTTCCAATAGCCCTATAGGGTAAGTGCCATTATTCTCAATTTCTGGTTGGGAAAATCAAAGTCCCAGGAATTTAAATAACTGTCCCAAGGATTATCAAGTACCAAGTGTTCTGCCCAAGAATCTGCCTTAGACACCACTAGCAGCAGTTTCTCCTTCAGCCACCTGGCCAAGTCACTTCCTTGGTGAGATGTGAACGGGGCGTTCCATGTATCTCCACCCTGGGTCTTCCACAGTCAGCCTGATCCATGCCGTTCTTTGTCACCTTTCAGGATGGGACAGACTGAAGTGTGGGCCACAAGAGGGAGGGTGGACTTCTCCAAGGGATCGTCAAATGATTGTGGGGTTTCTCTGTTAGCATCCATGAGCTTTTATTCAATTATGTTTTATCTTTAGGTCACACCACGCAGCAGGAGGGATCTTAGTTTCCCTACCAGGGGTCTGACCTTCACCCCTGCACTGGCAGCGCTGAGTCTTAGCCACTGGGCCACCAGGGAAGTCCTTCATGAGGCTTTCTTAATGAATAATAACCTTAACATAGAGTCTTTCGCACCTCCTCTCTTAGGGAGTGAGTGCATCAGAGCAGAGGGTGCTTTCACATGAGATGTGGTTGCCAAATGCACAATACAGATGAAAGGCCAGTCTCTCACTCTCTCTGTCTCTCAACCTCTCTCTCTCATGAGAAAGTCTCATGCTCAGACTTTCCATCTGTAAATTGAGGCTGTTGGACTCAGTCTTTTCTAAAGTTTTTTTCAGAATTATAAATCCTAAAACTATCTAGCTCCATGACATTGCGTCCTTCCTTCAACATGTTGATTTGGGGTAAGTGACCTTTCTTCATATGGAAATCTCCGCATCGGGAAAACCAGGACTGTGTCTGCTCCATGCTCTTCCCTTGAAGAGACCCTACAGAGGCACTGGGAAATGTCAAATTAAAACTTCTTTCTGACCTCATCTGCAAAGGGTGCAATTGTTGTCCCAAGATGAACAATACCACTTAGAAGATGACTCATTCTCCCAGTTGGTATATTTTTCTACCTTCTGACTATTATATTTTTGCTTTCTTAAACATTCCTACTTAGAGGAAATTTTCTATAGTAAAAAAAGAGAGAGAGAGAGAATAAAAAAGTTTTACTACAGTTTTCTGTGGTAAAAGAAAAACATGACACCCCTCATTCACACAGTGAGTCACCCTTTTCCATTTGTAATGTAACTTCATTAATACTGGCTTCTTTTGTATGTAACTTTAAAAAATTATTTATTTATTTGGCTGGGCAGGGTCTCAGTTGCAGGATGCGGACTCTTAGTTGCAGCATGTGGGATCTAGTTCCCTGACCACGGATCAAACCTCAGCCTGCCTGCATCAAGAGCTTGGAGTCTTAACCACTGGGCCACCAGGAAAGTCCCAATACTGACTTCTTGGGGAGATAACTAAGGGCTACTCATTGCCCCTGTCCTTTATTCACTAATTTTTTTTTCCTGCTGCATCTGACTGTGTGCTTGCTTTAAAAAGGATCTTTTTTTTTCCTAGAAGGACTTTTATCTGTAATACTGTTCTATCAGGTGGCTCCTGATTTGAACATTGAATTTGTTTACATACAAGGTAAGAAAATCAGTAGCTCTCTACTTGAAATATAATATTTCTCCTTCCTCATCCCGGGCTTCAAAACACCATATTGTTTGGTGGGGGTTCATCTTACATGGGCTTCCCAGGTGGCGCTAGTGGTGAAGAACCCGCCTGCCGACACAGGAGACATAGGAGACATGGGTTCGATTCCTGGGTCTTGCAGATCCCCTGGAGGGGGGCATGGCAACCTACTCCAGTATTCTTGCCTGGAGAAGCCCATGGACAGAGGAGCCTGGCAGGCTACAGTCCATAGGGTGATAAAGTCAGACACCACTGAAGCAAGTTAGCACGCAAGCACCTCTTACATAGTCAGAGTAGACAGAGAGACCCTCGGTGGCTCCGTGGTCTTGAGGAGAAAGTCCAGGGCTAGGAATCAACAGTCTTGGGCTTTTACCTCTGGCTTAAACCTCTACTAGCTGTTACTTATCACTGCAACCTTCAGTCTCCTTAACTTAAACACCTTTCTGGTTCCAAAGCTCTATGGTTTTGCTTGGTTCACGGCCAAAGAAGTTGTATCTAAGCCCACGCTAGGCTGACCATGCAATCAATTTAAAGGTGGAGGGGTGGAACAAACTGGCCCTTGAATTCCTTTTGTCCAAAGAACAATGACCTACTTAGAGTCGGCCCAACTTTGGTGACTATGCATGAGGGCCCTCCCTCAGCCACCCATAGAATCCAGCTGGGTGACATCCCTGGCCACCACTGCCAAGATGAGCCAGAGCTCTCTTCCTGATTCCAAGAGCATTCCCGGCAAGACCAGGATTCTGCTGCCCGCTGTTGGATACCCAGCATGGCATATATGTGTAGACGGTGGACGGGGAAAATGTCAGCAACACAGAACAGCTTAGCCAGAGGGGCCTCCCATCCTCTCTTCACACCCTCCTCCGCCAGCACCACCAAGAGGGAGGCTTCCTTCATATTCTTCGGAGGCAAGAAGACTCGAGACACAAACTTGAGACACGAATCAGGACATTTCTCCTGGGGTCTCTGCCACTCCTGAAATGTATGACCTGGTCAAGAACAGACAACACAGCTTTAACATGCAAGCAGCAACATCTAAAAGCATCATGACGACTGCATCATGGATTGACTCTTTCTTGAACAAGAAACCCCTTTGGGTAGAGCCCCCTTGGCAAATGAAGACTCGCTTCCTTTTAAGTCCCTTGGGAATCCAGGAATCAGCTTTGTTCTCTTGCCTGCAAAAGCTGTTACAGAACTTGTCTGTCTCCAAGTTGGACCATGCCCTTTCCTCTTGCGAAACACCTCTTTTTTGACCAAGGCCCTGGGTTGCTGCAGAAGGTCTCAGCCACACTGGCTACTAGATCCCTGATGTCCTGGGATCAGGGAGGCAGGCTCTTTCTATATTTCTTTCTCGGGCAATCTACATGTGTCTGTGTGAGTCTCTGTGTGTGTTGCTGTCTGTGTTTCTTTCTGGATTTCTCTACGTCTCTCTCTGCATCCCTCAGACTCTCTCTGCACCTCTTTGTCTCAGCGTGAAAGTAGGGGTCCTGCTGTAGATGTCTCCATCTCTCTGCCTGGTCTTTGGTCTCTAGATCTAGAGGGACACGGAGACAGAGGATTGGAAGTCCTGGCTTCACATGTCTGTTTGCTCTTCCAGCTCTGAGCTGCCGCCCCATGTCACTGAGGGTTCCTGTCTGTCTGTCTGTCTCCCCCGTGCCTCCCTTGCCTTTGTTTCTGCCTGTCTCTGACCCTCCTGCAAATGGAAACTAACTTCTGCATTATCTCCGAGGACCTCCCACAGACAGTGTGTATCATAATGCCTTGATCTTTTAACACTGGGGAAGAGAGGGTGACAGTAGGAAATGTGGGGATGTTGTTGATATCATGGAGGATGTCCTGGGGATGGGAAATAAAAAGCGGGGGAAAGGGAGCAGCTGGGACCACGGGTCCCTCTGCTCACTCCCCTCTCAGATACTCCTGCTGATTTAGAAGGCACCCCCCACCCCCCGCCCCCTGCCCGACAAGCATGACTGTTTTACAGGGTCAATAACAATTTCAGATGTCCAAGAATTAAAAGTGTGAATATATCTCCAGCCAGAGCTAGGTGGGAGTAGATTGCCTGAGAAGAATCATTTCAATCAAGAAAACATCATTTCTGATTAGAATGAATCAAAATTGAGATTTTTTTTTCAAGAAATGTCACATACAGGCCATGTATATGGGGTCCCCTTTGCTGGGTACTCACCTCCCAAGTTAGGAGTATAGCCTGGCTTACTAGCTTGGCCCTTTGGTGGGGTGACGAGAGAAATCAGAAGAAACATTCTGAGGAAGACACAGGATAGTGGACTTGTCACCAGCAGTCTTTTCAATTATTTAGTCATTAATATGATCACAGTTATTCAAAGCACATGGAGAATTATTTCATTAAGCCCAGTATTGTGCTTACTAAAACATGTCAGACAAAGACAAACCCTGTATGTTATCACTTATATGTGGAATCTAAAAAAAAATAAAACAAACCAGTGAACAAAAAAAAAAGCCGACTCACAGATATAGAGAACAAACTAGTAGTTACCAGTGGGGAGAGGGGTAGACTAGGAGTAGAGGATTAAGATATACAAACTACTATGTATAAAATAAATAAGCTGCAAAGATATACTGTACAGCATGGGGAATAGAGCCAATATTTGGGAATCACTTTAAATGGAGTATAATCTATAAAAACATTAAATCACTATGCTATACACCTGAAACTAACATGATATTGTAAATCAATTCCATCTCAATTTTTTTAAAAAAGCACATGTAGAATTGTGACCTACAGCAGTTTATTTCTTGCCTTCACCTCCTCCCTGTCCTTTTTAATTTTAGAACCACTGACAACATGCGAATAGGCTGGTGTGAGAGACTCTCCTCCTCCCTGGCTTGGATCCTTCTCCTGAAGCCTCTAGTTTGAGACGGAGGTGGGGAGAAGGCAGCTGACTGGCGTGGAGAGAGTGAAACAGGAAAGCGACCCCGAGTTTTCAAATGACTCCACTTTTTCAATTAACTTTTATTGGAGTATAGTTGCTTGGCAATATTATGTTAGTTTCTACTGTACAGGACAGCGAATCAACTGCACAGATACATATATCCCCTCTTTTCTTTATTTTCTCCCCATTTCGGTCACCACAGAACAGAGTAGAGAGTCCCCTGAGCGATACCTAGAGGCTGTCAAACAGAGTGAAGTAAGTCAGAAAGAGAAAAACACATGTCAGTATTAACACATATATGTGGAATCTAAAAAATGGTACAGATGATCTTATTTTCAAACAGCTCCTCCTCAGCTACTGAAATTCTCAACAGTACCATCAACTCCTTGTGCTAAATTATCCTTGTGCTTCAGATACATGTTGTGGATTGGAAATATCATCTTGTTGGTGGAATTATTACCATGTGAATATGGCACCCCACTCCAGTACTCTTGCCTGGAAAATCCCATGGACGGAGGAGCCTGGTAGGCTGCAGTCCATGGGGTCGCCAAGAGTCAGACATGACTGAGCGACTTCACTTTCACTTTTCACTTTTATGCATTGGAGAAGGAAATGGCAACCCACTCCAGTGTTCTTGTCTGGAGAATCCCAGCGATGGGGTCACACAGAGTCGGACACGACTGAAGTGACTTAGCAGCAGCAGCAGAACATAGATTAATTCATCACATAGGATATAAAATGAACACAAACAAGTATGCTTATTATTAGTAGTATTAGTATTAGTATTAGCCCAAGGAGAAAGACTTAAATCTGGACTGTAGGATATGGTGACCTAGAAATCAGAGACCTATAGATAGGAGAGGAGGAGACAGGTAATAGCCTACTTCCTCTGATTAGGGCTAAAATACCAACTTACAAAGGCTACAGCTGGTGACAGAGTGAAGGAAGGACATAAAAAGGTAAAAACAAATTTGCCTAGGACCCAGAAAAGTGATTCTTTTTTTTTCACACTTATTTTTATTTTATTTAGCTGTGCCAGGTCTTAGATATAGCATGTGGGATCTAGTTCCCTAACCAGGGATCAAACACAGGCCCCCTTCATTGGGAATGTGGAGTCTTAGCCACTGGGCCACCAGGGAAGTCCAACAGACCAATGATTCTTAACCCTAACAGTACATTAGAACCCCTGGGGAGCTTAAAAAATATAATAATAACTCGGCTCTACTCTAAGACTTCCTAGTTTAATTTCCTGAGTGGAACCTGGACAGTGGTATCATTTACAAGCTCTCTAGGTGTTTATGAGGTGCAACCAGCCTAGAAAACCACTGATTCAGACAATTGACAAACTAATAATGAAATTCTGGGTATTATTCTGACTTACCTAGCATATAAAGACACAAAGAGAAGGATGGGGGAAATCATTTTCTATAACACCACCAAACAGCAGAGCTTCCCTGTGGTAGCTGAATGGATAAACACCAGACACATGTAAAGGAGTGAAGCTAGGCTGAAAGAGATTGGAAGAGTCAGACCCCTCTCCTGAGAGCATCCTGGCAGGCCCAGAGAAGAGGTGGGAATACATCAGATAGGGTAGCTGGAGGCAAACATTTACATTGCTGAGATACCTCAGGAAGACTTAGATGAGTGAGTCTCAACCCTGACTACGCTAGAACCACCTAGAGAGCTTAAGCATCTCCCCAAACCCAAGTCACAGTGCAGACCAATGCAATTAAAACCTCAGGGGACGGCAGGGGTGGAGCAACATTTTTTTGCAAGGTCCCCAGTTGCTTCTGATATCCAGCCAACATTGAGAATCACTGCTTTAGATAATCATTAGTGTTTCCTCTCAGTAAAAGTTGGCATTTTTTTTTTTTTCAGCTGGAAAGCATGTAAAGGTATCAGCCATCTCCCAGGTATGCAGACCATGGACAGGGAAGGAGACCAAAGCTTTGGTAACAGTAAGGCGAAAAGGTATTTGCAACAACATGAATGGACCTGGAGATTAGCATAGTACATGAAGTAAGTTAGGCAGAGAAAGACAAATATCATATGGTATCACTTATATGCAGAATCTTAAAAAAAAATGATACAAATGAACACATTTACAAAACAGAAACAGACTCCCAGACATAGAACACAACTATGGTTACCACAGGGGAAAGGTGGGAGGGAGGGATAAATTGGAAGCTTGAAATTGACAGATACACACTGCTATATTTAAAATAGATAACCAACAAGGACATACTATATAGCACAGGGAACTCTGCTCAATAGTGTGTAAGAACCTAAATGGGAAAACAATTTGAAAAAAGAATAGATACATCTATATCGATAATTAACTTTGCTGTCCACCTGAAATGAACACAAAATTGCTAATCAGCTATGCTGTTGTTTCATCTCTAAGTCATGTCTGACTCTTTTTGGGACCCCATGGACCTTAACCCACAGGCTCCTCTGTCCACGGGATTTCTAAGGTAAGAATACTGTAAAGGGTTGCCACGCCCTCCTCCAAGGGATCTTCCTGACCCAGGGATCGAACCTACATTTTCTGCTTGGCACGCAGATTCTTTACCACTAAGCCACCTGGGAAGCCTATTCCAATATAAAATTTAAAAATGTTTTTAAAAAGTAAGACAAAAGTATAGGAAAATAAAGAGGAAAGGAGGGGAAGAGAAGATGAAAGCTAAAGAAATCAAAGGACAGGAATCAGAAAGGCAAGGAATCTAGAGAGGGGGCAGTGCTCTTACTCAGGGCCACTGACCCAGTCCCCCTTCATGCAGAACTCCTGCAAGGTTAATCCACACAGAACCACAGGGATTCCTTCAGATGCTGGCAAGGGAAACCCTAGATCACCTCTCCTCTTATTACTGGGTTTGTTCTCTAGGTCAACCCTGAATCTGTTTTGTTGCCATTTAAATTTTTTCCAGTTTTTCCCTCACTCAGAACAGCTGAAGGGTCACACCTTTGCATAATGATACATGGTTTCAAACTTTATAGGAACTTAAGATAAATGATAGGGTTTGTACACTGTGTGATGACTGAACCATCTGTACAATATCCTGACCAGGTCCCTTACCGTCTACAACTTCAGTAACCATGGAAACAAGCCCTCTTGAACATCAAGCTATTGTTATTAGGGAAATCTTTGTGTAGGGTTAGAATTTGTTCCTCTGGAATTGTCACACCTTGAATATGGGTCAACTGATTAGAGTCACAATGAACAAGTGAGCTGTCATGGGGACCCAAGACTTTCCATCTGCTCCCATTTCTGTTTCATCACCTGCTCTCCTGCTCCATAGTTTGAGGGTCACCCCCTCCAAGCCCTGCTGCCTTGTCACTCTCCTCTAAATGCATTTAAGTCTAATTTCTGTCTATGGATGTGGTCCCAGTGCTCCACCTAGATTCTGAACAGCTCAAAGAGGCACTCACAAAGCTCTTCTGAAAAATCCATACCGCAAAAGTGTTAGGTGATGGTTTGAGCAACACTCCAGGTGCCAGAAACTCCAATGTGGCTGTTACCTCGTCAAACTTTTAAATGCAAAAATGAACGTGAAGGCTTTACCTCTGATATCCTGGAGATCCATTTTGCAGAGTTTATTCGATCCTTTAAGGCATCTCTTATCTGGGGGGTTAACAAAAGGAATTAAGGATTAGAAGATTATGAAGAACTAACGCATATGCTTGAGATAGGCAAACCCTATGGTGAGAGTGTGTTTCCAGCAAGTGTTGTTGGTGGGATCAACAGTAATAATGCTGTTGTTGATACTTTGACTACAAATACTAGTTGTGGTATTCGATTCATTTAAAAAGTAATCATATGGTCTATAACTACAGAAAACCTTAAATGCTTTTTATGCTGTTTCACTTGCAAAATTGCATTTGTTCTTTATCCTAATCTAGCAGAGAAGGCAGGGCATCCCAAGTGGCTCAGTAGGTAAAGAATGCCTCTGCAATGCAACTGCAATGAGAAGATGTGGGTTCAATCCCTGGGTCAGGAAGAGCCCCTGGAGGAGGGCACAGCAACTCACTCCAGTATTCTTGCCTGGATAATTCCAAGGACAGAGGAGTCTGGTGGGCTACAGTCCGTAAGATCACAGAGTCAGGCACGACTGAAGTGACTGAGGAGCACGGAAGGCAGGGAAAGCATTATTATGTCTGTGACCCATTGAAGAACCTAAGGCTCATGAGTTAAGGACTCTCTATCAGCACACAGCTATTCCACAGAAATATCAGGATGAAAGGGCTAATTTCTTAACCCTTACCTCTTTTACTTTTAAGTTGATATTGTATCCTCATGGGAAAACAAAAGAACGTCTGTGAAATATGTCTTTTACAAACCTTGCATATTAACTTAGTAGTAAAACAGCATTGATAGTACAATAAATAGGTACATAAAATTTAAAAAATAAAAAATAAGCCCTGCAGTGTGAGTGTTTGCATCTACGATTTAGGAGGTTTGCTTTTCTCAATCCAAGAGGCAATGTAATAAAATAGAAAGAGGGTGATCTTAAAAGCCTGAATAAACATCTGACGTTTTGTTCCTTTTTTTTCACTTATTTTCATCACACCACCTACACACACCCATCTGTATTTGGAGAATTTCCTTCGTTAAGTCCACTGCTCTTTAAGGTAGAAGCCAGCAACTCACTTTCTCAGCCTCTCTTGCAGCTAAGATGTAGCCATGTGACCTGGGCTCAGCCAATCAGACATGGTAATGTAAGATGCAGGTATCAGTGGTCCTCCCTAGGCAGTGTGGAGAGGCTGCAGTAGCAGGAACTCTAGCTTAGCACACACCATCTGATGTTGCCCCACTGAGCTGTGCTCTCTGTGCCCAGAAAAGTAGGAAGGGGCAGGGGAGCCTCATGTGGAGTCATCTGTGCTGTGAATCAGGAACTACTCTTTATGCGTAGCCTCCATGCCTCCCAGCCACAGAGAGACCTTCCCAAAGATGTTATTGTGAGATGTGATAACTTTTTCTGCTTCAGCTAGGTAGAGTGGGTTTCTGAGAAATTGTGAGCAAGCTACTTCATCACTCTGAGTTTCAATTTCCTCATCTGTAGAACTAAAAATCAGAATAACCAGGATTGCTTTCAGGGTGAGAGCTAATGAATATAAGAGTTTAGCCCCATAAGAGCTTGAAAGCTGGTAGTATTACTTGCATCATTGAGACCTCGATGTCCTGCTCAAGTGTCTGCACAAATGATTGAGGTGAAAGACTCCCAATAAGTCGTCTTTACAAGTGAGCATTTCAGGGCCAAATATTGATAATGCAGAAAACAGCAGAAGAACTTATTGTACCTTCGGATCCAGGATTGTTCCAAACACCAGTATGAAGAAGCCCTGAGAAAGATGGAAGAGGGATAAGAGCCATTAAACAAAATAAAATGATGATAATAAACACCAGTACTTATTATCAGTTCCTATTCTTGTAGAAGGTAAAAATAATTTTACTAAATCCTTAAATAGAAAAACAAAGACCATTTTATTAAATCTTTGACTCTCTCATTTTAAAGTCGCAACACCTAGATTGATCCATTCAACAAATATGGATACAGAATTTTTCATGCACCAGCCACTGCTCTCGACACTTAGAATACTACAGTAAACTAAGCAGACTGAGGTCCCTGATGCATGCAAGAATACTATAGGAAGTTTGTATTTGGGCAAAATAAAGTGTTTTGTGTTTATCAGGAGTCGTGCATTGCATCAGAGTATAATGGCCCAAGAAAGTCCGAGGAGACAGGCTATGCACAGCCTCCTCAGAGTTCTTGAACAATCAGTAATTAAAGGAACTTCCACAGAAAATAACAAAAGCAGCTGTGTTCAGCTTTTATGAACACCCCCAATCACCTTCCCCCATCCACAACTAAAAACTGTTATAAAACTTGTGAAGAAAAATTAAGTCCACAGATACTCATAAAAATTCTACAGTTTTTAAGTAGACTAACAGGTGCTCAGAAATGGGTGCTCCAGATATTATACTATAGAGAGAATTTATTAGTTCTCATATCAATACTTTGGCCATCTGATGTGAGGAACCAATTCATTGGAAAAGACCCTGAAGCTTGGAAAGATTGAGGGTAGGAGCAGATGGGAGTGACAGAGGATGAGATGGTTGGATGGCATCACCAACTCAATGAACATGAGTTTGAGAAAACTCCGGGAGATAGTGGAGGACAGGGGAACCTGTCGTGCTGTAGTCCAAGGGGTTGCGAAGAGTCAGGCACTGAACAGTGACGACATCTCTTATGATTCATACAAAGAAAGACCCCATTAAAGTCACACAGTGGCTGTTCTCCTATCATTATAGTCCATTTGAGTTTTCAACTTTTTTTTTCATGGAATTGGCACAAAAGCACCCTGGGAGAAGGAAGGAAATGTATTTGTCCCATTTTTCACCTAAGGAAGCTCAGAGATTTAACTTTCAGAATGTGAGAGGCAACAACAAAACACATTAGACAAAATTCCTCTTGGAGATGAGGTTACTCAGGTCTTGACTCACCAGAAAAGAGATATAAGATAATGACCTTTGATTTAGGCATCCTTGTTAAGCTGCTTCTATTTCATAATCAAATGTGATCCTTACCCTGGCCGAGGCCTGCTAACGTACCTAGTTTAAGACAAACGGCACCATAAAGATGTTACAACCAGGTGACCATCAGCAGAAACAATATAAAACCGCCTGCGATCTTGATTTGTAAAATCCCGGCTGAAGGGTGGAGGACTTCACAGACCAGTACATGGCAATACAGCTCAGCTATTCCTCCAAACACACTAAAATATGCCTCCCTGTTCACCCAGTCCATCGAGCGCTCCCAAGCATGGAATGATTCTATCACATTACTGTTTTTAATGTTTCTCTTAGTCTACAGGAAAACCATTGAAATCTGTCATTATGTCTACTAAGAAAATGTCATTGATTTCCTGAACCATTCAGTTATAAAGTATCACTTGTACAAAGATGCTTGGGCCAAATACATCCCAGTCTGGTTTGGGTACTAGGAATACATTTTAAACCAAAATCTTCGCGAATTTTATGCAGGAATTAAAGTTTAAAAGATCTATGAACCACAATTCTAACCTGTTTCCTGAAGGCTAAAGGACTAAGCTCTCTCTTTGAAAGATCTTTAATTTCTTGAGTTTGGATTAATTATATTTGTATCTGAACATTTACCATAATGCTCAGCACAAAAGAAATAATAAATGTTGTGTCTCAGTGTATTTCTGTATGTGCATGTGTGCATTTAATTGCTTTATTATACAACCTGCATCTATAGCAATAAATACGTAACAGGAAAACATTCCACAAGGATCACTTTTCATTGGTCCATGCCACCTTGGGAAAAGTTACAAAAAATACCCTTCAAAAAATTTGGATAAGATTTTAGTCACAGTTTTATATCTGAGTAAGAAGAATTCACTGGTAGCAGCTTCTTTGAATTTCTTTTAGTAGATAAAGCACAATTTGAGCAGGTAAATCTCAAGATGTTCTCCCAGGTTTTAAAATATGTGCTTTAACTGCTGTAGACTGAATATTTGTGTCCTCCAAAAATTCATATGTTAAATCCTAGTGCTAAATGTGGAGATATTTGGAGGTGGGGCCTTTGAGAGGATTAGTCATGAGAACAGAATCTCATGAAAGGGATTTAGGGTCCAGATAAAAGAGGCCCCAGGGAGCTCCTGGCCCCTTTCACCAGGCAGGGTTATGGCAAGAACAAAACTGTCCATCTGTAAACCAGGAAGTGGGCTCTCACCAGATAATCTATCTGTGCGTGCCTCGATCTTGGACTTTCCAGCCTCCATAACTATAAGAAATAAATATCTGTTGTTTATAAGCCACCCAGTCTATGGTATTTTTTGTCATAGCAGTCCAAATGGACTGAAACATTTACTTTTCTCCCACCAAAACAGCTAGAGGGAGTCCTCAAACCTCACCCAGCCAGTTATTCTCAGTAAATATGAAGGAAGACACGGGTCAGAAGTTATGGATTGACAAATGAACAGTCAATGTAGCTCTTGACTACATAATAACACTTCCCTACCTAAAGGGTGGGGCTTCCCAGTGGCTCAGAGGTAAAGAATTCGCTTGCAATGCAGGAGCCACAAGAGTTGCGGGCTCAGTCCCTGGGTTGGGAAGATCCCCTGAGGGAGGAAATGGCAACCCACTCCAGTATTCTTGCCTCAAGAATCCCACAGACAGAGGAGCCTGGTGGGCCACAGTGAGTGGGGTCAAGAAGAATTGGACTTAGCACACACGCAACTTGAGCTTTAAAACCCGTGGTGATGCTCCCACAGAGATAGAACCATGAAATCTTTAAGAAAGTCTTTCTCCTACATCCTGTTGACCTCCTGTATATTTAGGAGTCTCTCTTCTCCGTCTGCCCCGTCAGCCTCAGCTGCCCCACATCTCGGTTCATCCTTAGTCCCCGCATGTCCTGCTTCTTCTTGCTCAATTGATTCCATCTCCTCCATCAGTGAGGGTTGCTGACTGTCCTTTCTCTCCTCTGGCACTGGGCATCCTCAGGATACTCTGATCCACAGACTTGCTGGTAAACAGCGATAACCAACTCACCTACTTTGTAGCACTTGCCATTCTCCAAGGTTAAATACTTCCACCATGGCTGATTTAAATCTAGCAACACTACCATGTGTAAAACAGATAACTGGTGCAATAGATAGCTGCTGTATCAGCTCAGCTCAGTGCTCTGTGATGATGGGTGAGGGGTGCCGAGGGAAGGTGGGAGGCAGGCCCAAGAGGGAGGGATATATGTATACATACAACTGATTCACTTCCTTGTACAGCAGAAACTAACACAATATTGTAAACCAATTATACTTCAATAAACAAAGATAAAAAATGAAAATAATATCAATCAATCAATCAATCCAGCAACAGGGCATCAATGAACATGGAGTCAGGAAGAGATGGACACATCATTACACAGTGTTCCCACCACCCAGATATAATGGTTGCCAATAACCTCAAAAGCACAGTGAAATGTAGATGCAATTACAAAGTGATGCATTTTGAGGATGTAGGACCTTTGTTTTCAATCTAACTTATTTAATTTGTAAGGATGTCTATGTTTACAATCAGCTCCCAAAATTCCTGAAAGGTAGCAGTCAGCTCTCTTGAGCCAGTACAAGCCAGTTCCAGCCCAGCACTGCCTCATGCCTGCCCCAGTGTCTGACCTTCACCCAGACTCTGCTCTCAGCTCCTCACTGTCCCAAGGGTCCTGGCATTTAGATGGATGGCCCCACCCTCCTCCTTGTCAGGAGTCAAGGCAGAAACAGCTGAAATTACAGGTTGACCCTGTAATAACAGGTAAAGGAGTTCATGGTATCAAAATAAATGCTCACAGCCTGGTTTAAAACAAAAGTCACAGCAAAGTGGCCCCAAGGGAGACAAGGGAAAAAAAGGCTTAAAAGTGAAACATGAATTCATTAAGCACTCATGATGAATGGCCATGGGGTACCCAGAAGAGAAGCTTTAGGAACATTACATTTTTTTTAATATTTTTTATTTTGGGGGTCTTGCTGCACAGCATGTGGGATCTTAGTTTCCAAACTCATGCCCCCAGCAGTGGAAGCGTGGAGTCTGAACCACTGGAGTGCCAGGGAAGTCCCTCGGAACACTACATTTTGAACCCAGTTCTACCAGTGACTAGCTGCATAAATGTGGATAAGGCAATTGATAATTACCAAGAGCTATACAAAAAATGTATGGTACAATTAATATTTTCCATAGAAGTGAAAAAACAAATCTGAAAGGTGAAACACCTCTATTTTTGTGTGTGTATTTTTAAAACTGGAGGATAGCTACTTTACAGTTTTGTGTTGGTTTCAGCAGTACAACAACGTGGATCAGCCATAAATGTACGTATATCCCCTCCTTCTCGAGTCTCCCTCCCACATCCCCATCTCACGCCTCAAGGCTGTTCCCAAGACATCAAAACACTGGCTGCAGAATGAAATCATGTACACTGAAATTCTGAAAGAGTAAAATGAGAAAACATTTGGCTTAAAATTTCTATTATAAATAAAACATTTATTTGAAAATAACCTTATTTGAGATAATAAAATAATAAAAATAAGGTTATTTATATACACAATTAGGAACAAAAGGAATATTTTAGAAGCCTTTAAAACGATAAAAGCTCACTTTTCAATTAGTTACTATACATTTAACATTCAGTAGAAGAAACTATGGTATACTATAACTGAAAAAATGAAAAAAACATTTCAGTCAGGTAGCGAATTATTAAAGATACATACATAGTCACCTGGTAAAATGCTCGGGTGTATTTTTAAGTGAAAATATACATTGTTTTTTAAACCCTATGCTATGTGAAAGCATATTTGTATGTAAGCATAGAAAACTTGGCAAAGATACATATAAAACTGTGAATATCGCTTAATTCACAGAGGTGAAAGATGAGAAGAAAGACTGTCTTTAATATCACTCTGGATGGCTTGCCTCATTAAAATAAGATGGTTTCCAATGGCCTGTAAAAATTCTAAATGGTGATGGGGTGGGAGGGAGGTTCAAGAGGCAAGGGACATATATGTACTCATGACTGATTCACATTTTTGTGCAGCAGAAATCAACACAACAGTGTAAAGCAATTATCCTCCAAGAAAACAATTTTATAAAAAAGTAAAAATAAATTTAAATTTTTCTAAGTTTAAATAGAAAGAAATATAATATATGGGCACATTTTAATACCTCCACTTACATACCTAGATTTTGGGGGAAGTAGTTTTATTTAGTTTCTAAACAGCAACAGCTCAGCTTTTAATATTTTATTTATCTATTTTGCGGTTACAAGTCTTAGTTGCAATATGCAGGATTTTTCAGTTGGGACTTGAGGAATCTTAGGTTACAGCAAGTGGGGTCTAGATCCCTGACCAGAGAACAAACCTGGCCCTCTGCACTGGGAGTGCAGAGTCTTAGCCACTGGACCACCAGGGAAGTCCCCCACTCACTGTTTTCTTTCCTTTTTAAACAGTCCTATAAAATGGGAATTCTCCTACCCATTTCATAAGGGAAGAAAACACGGCTTGGCAAAGTTAAGCAAATATCCCAAGAGAGTGTTACACATTCATAAGTCAGAGAGTCTAGATTTTAATCCAGGTCTTTCTGGAACAAAAGCTTACTTCCTGCCTCAATTTCCCTTCCACGAGCATGCTCAGTTCCTACTCTTTGCCACACCGAGGATTGTAACCTGCCAGGTTCCTTTGTCCCTGGGATTCTCCAGGCAAGCATATTGGAGTGGTTGCCACTTCCTCCTCCAGAGGATCTTCCTGACCCAGGGATCAATCTTGAATCTCCTGCAGCTCCTGCATTGGCAGGCAGATTCTTTACCACTAGCGCCACCTGGAAAGTCCTCCTGACTCAATAGGCTATTTCAAATTCTTTCTCTTTTATAAAGAAATACGATGCTACCAGCTCCTGATCACATTACTTTCTCCTAAAGTCTCTCACTGTGGACTCAGTCAGAAGGTTCTGGACTTACCTGGAAGGCATTGAGCAGGGAGAAGATGATGTGGAAAGCCAGCAAGCCGTCATTGAGGACCATGGCTATGCCGAATCCCCAGGTCAGTCCCAGCAGTGGCGTGAGGATGGCAATGTTCCTACTGATCCTCACAATGGCCCTCACCTCCTGGAACATGGAACTGCCGATGGCCGCTCGCCGGGTCTTGACAATCACCAGTGTGACTGTGACCAAGTTGACAACCACAATGGCCAGAGCCGGAATCACAAAAGCCAGAAGGGCCTTGGTCATGTCCCAGTTGAGCCAACAGGCCTCAGGCCGGAGATAACCTTTGCCAGGTTCAGTGGCAGCGACCGTGATAGCAGCAATGAGCAAAGGGCACCCGTAGCCCACCGCAAAGAGGGCTGCCACCAGGACGGACTTGGGCAACGTATGGAAGACAATCAGGATTCCGTAGAGGATGAGGAGTGCCTTGGCAAGCATCCAGAAAAACACAGAAAGGTAAAAGAAGTGAACGAAAAAGGTTGCTGCCACGCATGCACTGTGGCGCCTCATTGGACCACTGAGAAAGGAAGCCAGGATGAACCACACATCAGCCATCAGTAAGGTGGTTGCAATGTTAGCAATGCACACGTGGCGTAAGAATGAGATCTCTGTCTTCGTCACCTGGCCCCAGACCAGGGCCTCGATGCACAAGCAGAGGACCAAGCTGCAAATAGAAACACCCAGGCCTATGTACGTGATGTAAATCAGAATCGGGCTCTGCAAGACGTGGGGTGCCATCAGAATCGAGAAGGAAGTAAATATCTTGCTTGGGCTACATTTGCACACCACCTGCTGGGAGTTCTCCTGGATCATTCGGCAGACCTTGCGGTCCCATCTGCTCTCCAAGGAGTGCCAGCCTGCACACTCTGTCCTCCTGTCCTCCGACTTGCTGATCTTTTCAAAAACCAGAGAGATTCTTTCAAGTTCCTTGGGTAGAATGACAGACAGGACAAGCCCATTCACGGCGATGCTTTCCAAAACACTGGTTTCTAAGATGGCCCCAAGAGTTGGAAATGCGATGCTGACAGCCTGAGAAGGAGAAGGCACCTCCTGAAGTTCCTCTCTGCTGATCAACACCTTCCCCACGACCACATCGCTGGTGTCGTTAACTCTCATTGAAAAGGTGAGATTCTTTCCGGCATTGTCTCTAGAGAGGATGGTTCCCACCGTATGGATGAAGTTCTCTGCTATGTCAATGGGATGCTTATTGAAAAATAGCTTTCTTGCGAAAGAATTGATTGAATGTAGCAGGATGCAGCTGCTGTTTCTGTCGGGGATGAAGGTCCAGTTTGAGATGCTTTTGCTATTAAGAATGTGGTTGGCCATGATGCTGTAACTCTGTCGATGAAGAACCAGGATTAGTACTGAGCCACTCTCTGAATCTGCCAGGACAATCAAGATTAAAATGCATGGTCCTGGGACTTCCCTGGTGGCTCAGTGGTAAAGAATCTCTCTGCCAGTGGGGAAGACACGGATTGGATCCCGGAACCGAGAAGATCCCACATGCCATGGAACATCTAAGCCCATGCGCTACAACTCTTGAGCCTGTGCTCTAGAGCCCAGGAGCCACAGCTACTGAAGTCCACACACTCCAGAGCCCGGGCTTTGCAATAGGAGAAGTCACCGCAATAAGAAGCTCTCGCACCATAACTAGAAAGTAGCCCCTGCTTGCTGCAACGAGAGCAAAGCCTGCGCAGCAACAAAGACCCAGCAGGACCAAGCCTACATAAATAGATAAATAAATAATTAAAATTATACATAAAAATGTGATCCTCCAGCTGGCAGCAAAGGCAGCCCCTGGAACTGCCTAGAGATCCAGAATCTCAGGCCCCACCCCAGACCTAGTGAATCAGAATCAGCATCCTTTTTTACAACTGCAGTATTGTTGATTTACAGTGTTGTATTAATTACTGTTGTCTAGCAACAGACTCAGTTACACACACATATATATAAAGACACATTCTTTTGCATTTCTTTTCCATTATGGTTTATCACAGGATATTGAATACGGTTCCCTGTGCTATACAGTAGGACCTTGTTGTTTATCCATTCTCTATATCCTAGTTTGCATCTGCTAATTCCAACCTCCCAATCCAGCCCCCTGTCACCACCCTCCCCCTTGGCAAACCACCAATCTATTCTCTCTGTCTATGTAGAGCCAGCATCTTAAGGAGACTCCTAGGTGAGGTTAGTGCTGCAAGGGAATTGCCTTCCTCCCCATTTTGTGCAATGCCTTCCTTCCCCATACCCGTTGCCATCATCAATTCCTTTTCATACCTTAGTGAAACTAGCATTTGCTCACCCTGGTCAGAGCACCCATTACATAATTAGCATCTAATGAATCCCAGTTGTGATCATCACCCTGTATAGGAACATTTGTTGTTGCTTAGTTGCTAAGGCATGTCCGACTCTCTTGTGACCCCATGGACAGTAGCCTGCCAGACTCCTCTGTCCATGGGATTTCCCAGGCAAGAATGCTGGAGTGGGTTGCCATTTCCTTCTCCAGGGAGTATTCCTGACCCAGAGATTGAACCAGTGGCTCCAGCATTGACAGGTGGGTTCTTTACCAATGAACCATCAGGGGAGCCCATGTATAGGAACATACCAATCTGGATCCTAGAGGCTAAGCTTACTTTTTAATGTCCTCTGCTTTGAAGATAAAAGCAAAAAAAAAAACAAAACAGGATCCAGTTCCACTTTATATTCCTGAAGCAGATATGTATGACTGTTTTCTTTGCACTCAGTTTTTCTCCTTTTTTGCAATCTGTTCTGACTCCAAATGAAAGAAAGAAAAGACTCTTTCTCTCTGCTACTGTGGTTCTTAGTTTTCCGTAGCCAAATAGACACTGGAAAGATGTACACTGGGGTTTGATCCACACCCCATAAGTGGTCTCTCTAAATGTTTGTTGTTTGAATGTTTCCACCTTTTCGTTCTTCTATTCATTAGCTCTTCATTCACTCTTCAATGATGATTTATTGAACACTTGCTGTGCTAAGCCCTGGAGATACTGAGATGAAAAACACGGTTCTCAGACCCCCAAAAGCTCATAGAGTATCCAGCTCACCTGCATTCCTTTTCATCAAGATGATACTCTACCACATCCTCACCACCACTCACCTGCATCTTTGCCTCATCAACATCTGTCATTGGCACAGTGGAGATGTTGTGTAAGAGCTGCACAATCACAGCGATGTTTCCTGGAATCCGGGGAGACTTCTGAATGTTCCTGATCACACAGGACAGATCCTGTGGACACTTTTCCATTAACAAATCTGTAATGGTCTCAGGCTTCTTGGTATATTCACTGAATTTTGATCCTCCAAATATTTGAACATAATTTGAATCTTCCTAAGAAATGCCAAAAAACAACAAAAAGTTTCTTAATGTTCATTTTGTTTTAAACAGAAAAGGAGTTTTACTAAAATTTACAACAGTGTGATTACATGATTGTATATTGCATAATGTTTTTGTATTTTACATTCTCAAGCTCATACTCACTGTGAATAGCCTGCCCAATACCATGGTGTTTCAACAGAAAAGGAAAGCCCTGCCTTGCCAGCCACCTGCTTCCTGCCCAAAATAGCAACTGTGGTCTTTAGTACACCCCTTCTGACTCTTCTATGTATGTATGCTGCACATTCATTCTGTAGATAGATTACTAGTGCCCTCTAACCTTATTTCTACTATTCTTGAGGGGCAAAGCATGAGATATGAGTATATTTTTAAAATAGAAATTCTGAACTGAATTTGGATGAATCCGTTGGAACATCCACACAGAAGGACTGAAAGTATTGATAGATCTCCCATGGATTCAGGCTTGAGTCTCACCCTTGAGAGCAAGCAGGTCAAACTATGGCCCTAGGATAACCACCTGATTTGGGGCAGGAGGCGGGGCAGGGCATGCTGCATGGCTTGTGGGATCTTAGTTACATAACAAGGAATTGAACCCAGGCTCTCAGCAGTAAGAGTGTAGAGTCTTAACTCCTGGATCACCAGGTTACGGCGATAGTCACCAGGTTATTATCACCAAAAATGGCCTGATTTTTGGTAAATATAGTTTTATTGGAACTGATAGATTTATTGGACAGGTACAAACACACTTACCAACCGCACAGCCTCATGTCCACTTTCCCCTTACTGAGTGCTACATGCATTGCTAATTTCTTATTTTTAATTGAAGTATAATTGCTTTGTAATGTTGTATTAGTTTCTTCTGCACAACAAAATGAATCAGCTATATGTATACCTATATCCTTACCCTCTTGAGTCTCCTTCCCACCCACCCCCTTCCCACCCCTCTAGGTCATCACAGAGCAGTAAGCTGAGCTCACTGTGCTATATAACAGCTTCCAACTGGCTATCTATTTTATTCATGGTAGTGTATATATGTCAACACTACTCTCCAGTTCGTTCTGCCCTCCCCTCCCCTGCCATAGCCACATGTCCATTCTCTATGTCTGTGTTTCTTATTCCCACCCTACTAATAGGTTCATCTGTACCATTTTTCTAGATTCCCTACATATGCATTAATATACAACATTTGCTTTTCTCTCTCGGGCTTACTTCACTCTGTATGACAGATTCTAGGTCCAACCACATGACTACAAATGATCCAATTTCATTCATTTTTATGGCTGATACATATATATATTTTATGGCTGAATATATATATATATACACACAATACACACAATATACACAATATTGTATATATATACCACAACTTCTTTATCCATCTCGCTGTTGACGGTCATTTAGGTTGCTTCCACGCCCTGACTATTGTCAACAGTGCTGCTAGTCTGGGGCTCCACTTTGCAGGTGGGAGAAAGGATGCTACCTCGAAGATGTTGAAGGCGCTGAGAGTCCGGCAGGTGTCAGTAACTTTGTGCCATTTCTTTTGCCTGCATAAAAACCCCACATCCCCTGGAGTGTCTGGAGGGCAAGGTTGGCTGCAGTAGGAATTGTCCACACAAGCGCCATGGCAGTCACCTGAGAAAAGAAAAGGTGTCAGCATCGGATGGAGAGGTCTGGGCTCTGGACCACATGGGCCGGTTACCATGGCGTCTGCACAGCGAAGGCACATCAGTCCTATGGACATCAGGTGTCTTTTCTTTGTAAAGTGCAGGACAATTGAAATAGATCAGGGATCATCATCTATTTCAGTGACAACCTCCTATTATTTCTAACAAACTAGTATCCTGAACTCTAAGGTTTAAAATAGATAAAAATGGTACCGTACCAACGCAAGTGAGTAAAAGAGAAGAGCCCACAGTTCAGTTCACTAGCTCCCTCTCTCACCCCACAGGAACCCCTTAAACATGCCTCACGCCTGCAGCTAGCTCCCCAGGAATACAGTTTGGAAGCCAGCATGCCTGATATTCTCTAAGAAATTTCTCAACTCCAATTCCTTAAAAAGCTAGGAATAAAATCACATATGAGCCAGCAATCTCACTCCTAGGCATATACCCTGAGGAAACTGAAACTGAAAAATGCACATGTTCCCCAATGTTCATTGCAGCACTATTTACAATAGCTAGAACATGGAAGCAACCTAGATATCCATCGACAGATGAGTGGATTAAGAAGCTGTGGTACATATATACAATGGAATATTACTCAGCCATAAAAAGGAACGCATTTGAGGCAGTTCTAATAAGGTGGGAGAACCTAGAGCCTATTATACAGAGCGGAGTAAGTCAGAAAGAGAAATGTAAATATCATATACTGACACATATATATGGAATCTAAAAAGATGGTGCTGATGAATATATTTTCAGGGCAGCAATGGAGAAACAGACATAGAGAACCAACCTATGGACGTGGGGGGAGGGGAGGAGGGAGAGGATGAGATGCATAGGGAGCGTAAAATGGAAACTTACAATACCATATGTGAAATAGATAGCCAGTGGGAATTTGCTCTATGACTCAGGGAACTCAAATCAGGGCTCTAGAGGGGTGGGATGGGGAGGGAGATGGGAGGGAGGTTCGGGAGGGAGGGGACATGAGTGTACCTATGGCTGATTCTTGTTGATGTGTGACGGAAAGCCACAAAATTCTATAAAGCAATTATCCTTCATTTAAAAGAGCATTTAAAAAAAAAGAAATTTCTCAGTTCCAGAACTTTACAAGGAGCTATGTCCTCGACGGGGTCTCATAGATGCCCCCATAGCCTCTGCTCTATTTTGAGTTGGTTCAATCTAAAAGATTTATGGCAAAGAACTCTCAGACCAGGATGGAGCAAGAAGGGAGCAGGGGTCAAAGGTACAATTTAAGATGAGAAGAGTAAAAGAAAAGTCCAGATACATGCCATCGAGGTGTGCCATCTACCACGCCATGAGACAGAGGGCTGAGAAGAGCTCTGTGTTACAACAGATGGATAGGACACGCCCAACTCTTAGTAACTGCTGCCAACATACCGTATGCCCTGGTAGATACCTGCTCCTTGCTCTTGCTGGCAGCCTAGGAAGGGAAAATTAAAATCCAGGTCAAACGCAATCACTAAAATGTGCACCCAGTGATTCACTTTCATCACATCTGAATCAGCTCTGATGCCAGCATGCCACTTAATCTAAGACCATGAATTTGTCACCATGGTCCCATTTCCCCTCAGCCTGAACAGATTTCTTTCCACGGCTATTCAGCAGGAGAACTCCTTCCACTCCAGGAAGAATGATCTGCTTTCTATCATTGTTGTTGTTGTTTAGCTGCTAATTCGTGTCCAACTCTTTGTGACTCCATGGACTGTTGCCCCACAGGCTCCTCTGTCCATGGGATTTCCCAGGCAAGCATATTGGATCCCCCTTCTCCAGGGGATCTTCCTAACCCAGGGATCAATCCTGCATCTCCTGCATTGACAGGCAGATTATTTACCATTGGGGCACCAGGGAAGCTCCATCATTATCATATGTTTTATTAAATTTTCAGAAGCAAAATAGTTTAGCCATCATCTGTTCAGTCCTTTTTTTTTTCTTTTTCCAGTTTCCCCTCCTTTACATTCTCCCTTATTTTGGATAGCACTCAAAGGATGTGGCTGTTTTTGGTAGAAGTTGAGTTGGTTATGTATTTAGTTTGGATTAAATAGGATATATTTATGTAGCTTGCAGTCATATCTGCATTACAAGGAGGACATCAACATAGAAGTGGCATTCATTCTCAGGGTATTTACAATTAGTCATAGAACAAGAAAATCCTAAGTGCTCGAGATACTTTGCAACTAACATATTAAAAAAAATTTGGTTTCCACAAATTTGACAACAGTCTTTCTTACATGTTTACAAGACATTATTAACAATGGATTGAGAAGCTGAAAGCTACTTTTTTTTAATTAGCAATAAGAATGAAAAAAATTTGATCATCAGTTTTAGAGGTAAAACTGAATCATCTTTCTATTTTTGTTATAGAAAAAACTACAAAATTATTGACATGTAAGTATGCAGCCAAAAAATGTAGGGAGGAAATGTTGGCAGTTTATTTATAAAAATATTGTTATTAATTTATTACTGGAGGGACTGCCCTGAGGGTCCAGTGGTGAAGACTCCATGCTTCCAATATAGGGGACACATTTTTGACCTCTGGTCAGGGAACCGAGATCCTCACATGCTACTTGGTGCCAACCAAATAAATAAATAAATAGATGCATGGAAGTGCTAGCACTTCAAGATGCCCTCAGCCCAGCTTGAGAGGATCATGGTCTCCAATGCACCATAATAAAGCACTTCAAAATGAACAATTCTGGATAATACTTGGCCCATTAAACAGACTCCAGTGAGGTCACATCCTGCTAGTCAGGTAGGAGGGCAGAAGGTGATGGTGTGCTATTTCCAAGGAATTCTGGAAACTGTCTTAAGTGAAGGAACTGATTCACTTCCAGTTAATTTGCCAAAGTCCATGTATACACAACTCCATGTGACCTCTTCATTTCTAGGGTGGTATCCGATGGGGCCACTTAAGCTTCAGCTAGCAACAATGCACGGACAGAGCAGCTTGGTAGGCTACAGTCCATGGGGTTGCAAAGAGTCAGACACAATTGAGCCACAACACACACACACACGTAGCAACAATCCTCGGACTAATACTGCGAACAAGACACTTGCAAACCCATCACCCGTTAAACCTGCAGAATTGCCTGAGAGAGGTTGGAAGGCAGATAGCACCCCAAAGAAAGCTCAGCCCCCAGCAACTTGTAAATTGAAAAGAAAATGATGGAACATTCTGGTAAGGTGAGTCCCGATAATCAAGAAAACAAAGCCAGCCTCCCATGCTCAGCCTCCAAGTTCTGTCTTGTGGAAGAGTGTGGACGAGGAAATGAAGAGGAAATAATACAGAGCTGTGGGGTTGGGGTGCCTCCCAGAAAAGGCCTTTCTGAGGGGGTCTCTAATCTTTCCCAGAAACTGGGCTGTAACTCAGTATTAGGGGGAGGGGAGTCATGGAGAAAATTCCCATCCAGGGGCACATTACTCACAGGGTGAATATTATTTGGAAACTTCTAGAAAGAATCCTTTATTTAGCTTTTTATGTTATATTGGGTTATAACTGATTAACAATGTTGCGATCATTTCTGGTGAACAGCAAAGTGGCTCAGTCATACATACACACGTGTTCATTCTGACCCAAACCCCCTCCCATGCAGGCTGCCACATGGCCAAGGTGCTCATTGGTCCTTCCTGCCCATTGATGGTGTTCACCTCAGGCTTCTCAAAGGAGATGCCATTTTGGGTGGGACAGTGTTTCACAGTGTTGGAACCTTTCCTAAAGTCCTGCTCACTCAATGCCATTAACCATCTCCCAGTCAAGGTTGGAGACTTCCCAATAGTTCAGATGGTAAAGAATCTGCTGCAATGCAGTAGACTCAGGTCCAATCCCTGGGTCAGGAAGAGCCCCTAGAGAAGGAAATGACAACCCACTCCAGTATTCTTGCCTGGAGAATTCCATGGACAGAGGAGCCTAGCAAGATACCATGGGGTCGCAAAGAGTCAGACACGACTTAACTAACACACACACACAGTCAAGGTAACACTCCTCCCAGCCTCCACATTCTCCAGTGCCTTTAAGGAAGAGGCACCACCCTGTTTATCAGCCACTGGAAGCTTCACCATCAAAGGATATGGGAAGAAGAGTGGATTACCCTTACATCATTCGGACCCCTTTGCATCTCAGGAAGTTATGGAAAAAGCAGATGGGAAAATAATTGGCAGCTATTAGCTAAAATGGGTTTCAGTGACCTGCAGTTGCATTTTCATCTGGTTGGACCATTCAGTCTTCAGGCTTCCCTCACGACTCAGTTGGTAAAGAATCCGCCTGCAATGTGGGAGACCCCAGTTCGATTCCTGGAACAGGAAGATCCCCTGGAGAAGGGATAGGCTACCCACTCCAGTATTCTTGGGCTTCCCTTGTGGCTCAGCTGGTAAAGAATCCGCCCACAATGCGGCAGACCTGGGTTCAATCCCTGGGCTCGCAAAGAGTCAGACAAAACTGAGCGACTTTCACTTTCACTTTCACCCCATCTTCTACCTACCCTTCAGCTCAGATGGGCTGGCTAACTCATGGGTTCTAGTTTCCATTCGGTCTCCACACCAGCTCATCCTCCCACCTCCCTCTTCTTACCTGGCATAACGTCCTGCAGGACTCTGTGGCCAAAAGAAACACGAAGCCGTACAGCAAGAGCAGAAGCATCTGAGTCATCGTCTTCAGCACAGTTGCCTTTCTGGCTACTAGAAGAACAAACGAAAAGGCAAAATGTCTCCCATCGGAAGCTTTCAATGTTCCACACGGAACCAGTCAGCCTGAGACTGGGTTCTGTCCTTAGCACTGTCTGCTTGGGCTCCTCTGCTCCAGAGGTGGGGTCCCCGTGGTCTCCCTAGACCTTACCAGGATGCCACAGGTATGTGCACCAGCTGGCCCTGGGAGGTGCAGGCAATCACTGTGATAATCTTCAGGTTCTGCTGTTGTCTTGCATGTAGCACCTAGCATGGGAATCCCTCCAAAGGCATCTGCCTACTGGGGTGTGACATATCCAGCCCATATTTGGGGAGCAGGAAGGATGGTGCACTCTCTGGGTTAGGCAGGGCTGAGAAACCTGTGGGTGGCTAGGTTGGAAGGTGAGCTGGCGTTCCCACATGCAAACTCAGGTTAGAAATCGCTTTTGAAGGAGAGTAAGCACCAGGCTTGACCTATGGTCCCTCCTTTCCACCTAACTCTATAGCTATATTTTCATAGGTAGGTAGCTGCTTCTTCAAAACTGATTTTAGACATGCCCTGGTATTTGTTATTTCTGCCAAAACTGATGTCAAAACTAAAATGATTTCTTAGCATCTAGAACCATGTGTCCAACAGACACATGATAAGGACATAGAAAACTCCATAAGAAAGAGGAAAGGAAGGGGGGAGAGAAGGGAGACCAGAAGAACTGAGGATTTGTATCAGAGTCCATGCTCTATAGATATAAATTTTAATAACTTCAATATTTTTTATCCCTGAGTAAGATATTCTTTGAGTGGTGTTGGCTGTGTCTTTGCTTTTAGATGGAAGGAGAAGATTTGGATGTCATCAACAAAGGCCAGGAGCTTTTGCAATGGTTGATACTGACTATTTGACCATTATTTGGTGAAAAAGAAATAGTCTTTATCCCAACCATGCATAATTCTATAGAAAACAATGCCATTATTTTAAAGACTAGGCAAATTTGCACTTTAAAATCATGTTTGCTGCATGGGAATAATTGCCTAGCTGAAATTCCACAGAAATCTAATGATTATTTAAAATATTTTGCACTGCCTGTTTCAGACCATCATTAACAGTTTTCTGAAAGTCCTATAGTGTTTTATTCTCCTTTAATTAAAAAGAATTGTATTAATTGAATTGTAGTTGGTTTACAATATTGTATTAGTTTGAGATGTACAGCAAAATGAGTCAGTTAAACACACACAAATATATATATATATATATTCTTTTTTCAAATTCTTTTCCTATTTAAGTTGTTACATAGTAGTTCCTTGTGCTATCCAGTAGGTCCCTGTTGGTTATCCATTTTAAATTCAGCAGTGTGTACATGTCAATCCAAACTCCTTAAATATCCCTTCCCCCCACCACCCCTGCTTCCTCCCGTATTTGTTCTCTAAGTCTGTGAGTCTATTGTTTTGTAAACAAGTTCATTTGTAGCAGTTTTTTTTAAGATTCCACATATTAGTGATATCATACTATATCTGTCTTTCCCTGTCTGAGTTACTAAAAGTGATATATTTTAATCTGGACTTAAGGAAAATCCTTTTTCTTTCAGATTTGTTGACATTTAGCCAAAGTCACGAGCTCTTCCTCTAGTTCCGTGCAAGCAGAAAACTTAGAAGTAAAAGTATAGTGGCAAAACAGTAACAGGAATCCAATCTTTGACTACCCTCTCCCCCACCCAGCTTCCTTCCTTCCCCATTTTCATGCAAAAAGTCAAGGTTTCTGATGATCCAGACCTGCTTTCCCAGGTTTGCTCCACACCTTTCTGAAAGGCAGGGGTAGCTGGAATGGGACGCTTCCCTCTCAAACAGATGTTTAAAAATGTCGGTTCCAGGGACTTCCCTGGCAGTCCAGTGGCTAAGACTCCACACTCACGATGCTCGGGTCCCAGTTTTCATCTCTGGTCGGGGAATTAGATCCCACCTGATGCAACTGAAGGTCCTGAGTGCTACAACTAAGGCCTGGCTCAGCCAAATTAATTAATTAATTTAAGTGTTTATTCCATGCAGCTCAAGCCAAAAAAAATTTGCTAAAGACATTTATTTCAGAAAAGGTTTATCTCCCCAGAATGTAAAATATGAGAAAAGTCACTTCATGAGATTCTCACCAAAAAAAATGTCATGAAGCAATCACCTCAGCTCTGAAATTTCACACAGTGAAACATGCCAAATACAAAGTGCTGGAATGCTTTTTATTAAGAAGCTGCTCCCCTTTCCTTTATCAAAAAAAAAAAAAAAATCAACAAAACCAAAAAACTCAGCAACATGAATGATTACAATAGCTAGATCTGTACAGATGACATTTCAACGTAGAATGTATTCTCATTCTCTGTTGACCACTTTCTAAATATGAAAAAAGTGTTTATGATGTTCATTTATGTATTTTCTCAACAAACATAAAATGAGCTTCCCGTCTCCAAGCAATGCCCTAACAGAAATTAAACAATGGTGTCCTAAATAGAAATTAAACAATGACAGCAAGGATGACTACTTTCCGTGTCCCCCCAACATCTCAGGAAGTCACAGTCTAATGGCACTCTTGAAGCACCGCCCACTGGGTGGCAACTTGGCTGGGGTTTGCTCCCTGGAGATCTCCGGACCCTTGAAGTCAAAGCAAGACAAGTAGACATGACAGGAAGTGTCCCCAAGTTCCAGATTCCACAAGGCAATTCCCAAATTTGTTAGCAATTCAATTCTGAAATATTTCTTCCTATCTTTATGTCAAATTCCTCCATCCCCAAAGCCATAGGTTGAGTGGTAAAGACAAAACAGGCAAAAAGAAAGCATATGGGCTGCACACTGCATGTGTTTTTCATATGGCTCCATCGGAAACAAACTTTTGTTTAATTTAAACATACTCATACGCACAAGTCATAGAGACCAGAGCGGTTCTATAGAGTGATTTGAGCGGGGAAAATTCTACAACTTTAACCCTTAAATCTTGACTAGGGAAAAAGAAAGTATTGGAATAGCAATCATGGCAAACACAAACAAGAGTCAAGAAAACTCCAGACATATTTTGATCAGACACCCAAGAGAATTTCAATCAGCAGCCTGGTCAGCTGAGTCTGCGGCTCTTAGTTGCATAATTAGGTTTCGAGGTGAATTGCTGAGGCTTCTAGTGAGATCCACAAAACACTATGTAAGTTCCCAGACAGACTGTGGGAATAGACTTCAGATGATCTCAGGGGTGGAAGATTCCATAGCGTCTATCCTGTAGACATCATACTCTTTCACCCCTAGTCAATGACCAATCCCTCCTCCTGCCTAAATGCAGACACTATGAAAGGCAAGAGATTGGTAAAACAAATAGACACTGCCTATTACTATGTGTCTGACACTATATTTACATTCACTCTTTGCGTTGTTCTAAGTAACTGAGTGATTGCCACAATTTTTTTTAATTAAAGGGATAAAAGTTAACCCTGGCTAACCTCAAAGTTACTAAGTGGCATAGCTAAGATTTAAACCCAGATCTGCAATTTTTTTCAGTATATCATGTGTCTTTTCTGATATAAGAAAGAGCTGATCTTTGTATGGAGTTCATTCCTTCAGAACATTTCACATATTGACTTTTACCTTGACCTCATAAAATTTTATGCAGTAAACAAAAAAGTTACCATTTTCCCTTTTTTATCAAAGAGGAAATTGTCCAGATAGCAGGAGGCTTTTCCAAGATCATACCCCAAGTTACTGGAACCAGATTCTTTTGACTCTTGATCAAGGGCTTTTTAAACTACATCGATCTGTCCCTGTCCTCCTTCCTGTCCTCATTGGAGATGTAAAAGAACTGATCACTATCTCTCTCTCAGTAAAAAAAAAAAATTATATACATGGATATAGTTAGGGAGACAGATGGAAACAGTGATGTCAGAGATAGATGATAGATAGAGAGATCTAGGTTTAAATAGTCTTTTAGAAATATACAACCTAAGTAGAATTGCCTTCAGAACTCCTTCAGTCTTCATCCTGAGTCATATCCATGCTGTGCCCAGATGCTCAGGGTCTCATTTTGACTCCAGTCTAAAATCTCTGTCCTTGAACGAAGCTCCTTCCTTACTCTGAAGCAAATTTTGCCACATCAATGACCTCCTTTCTTGGATCTTAGCCATTTGGAATTCTTCTGACTGCCAAGAAAGAACTAATCAGATAGGTTGACTACCAATAATGCGAAAGTGAATATTAGTGGTTTGTGATTTGATCATCCCAGGTAAGTGTACATTCTAACAGGAATTCCCCAGAGGCAACCTCTCCAAATCTGGCCACCTAACACGAAGAACTGACTCATTGGAAAAGACCCTGATGCTGGGAAAGATTGAAGGCAGGAGGAAAAGGGGACGACAGAGGATGAGACGGTTGGATGGCATCACCAACTCAATGGACATGAGTTTGAGCAAGTTCCAGGAGTTGGTGATGGATAGGGAAGCCTGGCGTGCTGCAGTCCATGGGGTCACAAAGAGTCAGACACAACTGAGTGAATGAACTGAACTAAACCTCTCCAACAGTAGGAAGTAAAGGCACTGACCCTGGTCAATGGGCCAAATTTTTGGGCGCAAGGATGACCCTCTATGATCCCAACCTACCCACAGAACTACCTCCTCTGATATGTTTATGTAAGTCTTCTGTTTTCTCCAGATGCCCAGTTTTTTAAACCTTCCATCAACTTCACTGGTCCCCCTGAGCCTTGGCAAGCTTCACTAACCTGCTTTTGAATTGGATGTTTTTCTCTTTATGCATGCAGATTTTAAGCCATGATGAGCAATGAAGTGCTCATACCTGAAAGGTAAACAGCCAACAGGCAGGAACATGGGTTGATGGTGTCTCCACAGGCACTTGGTAAAGGTGTATCCCAAGAATCACTTGCCTCATGAGTCACCACAAAGCCAAAGAGAGTATTTACTCTGACAGAGGCAGCTGAGATAAATTCAAGAGATCATAAACGTATACAAAATTTGGAAA